GGACATAGGAAATGTGTGGAGCCTTTGGGGCTTGGATATGCTTTGACTTTTACTCTGAGTGGAATGGTAGTTCAGGCTTCCATAGGAAAAGCCATAGACCAGATGATGTAAGCAACAGAAAATACTTTCTTTCATACTTCTGGGGCTCTCGAATTCTCAGATCGGGGTCCCCGTGTGATTACATTCAGGAGAGGACTCTACTCACAGACAACTGCCTTCTCACTGTGGCCTTATGCAGTGGAGCAACCACTCTGCTCCCTTTCCTCACAAAGGCACAGTTGTTTTGACCCCAGCTTCATCCCTATGAGCTCATTTAGTTTAAGGGAACTGTTGAAAACCCTCCTTTCCAGTTCAGTCATATGGGTAGGTGGGGGCTAACTACAACCACAAATGTTTCGGCAGCACAGTTCAGTCCATAGCAGCTGTCAAATCACTAAAGAGTTCCAGGAAGGAAAATTATCTTACATATGGAGTTATGTCCAATTTACTGATGTTTCAGGAAAGCTGTCATGTAATGTCATGATGGAGCTGGAAAATCCATATTTTAGTGTACTTTTTTTCTGTCTGGAAAACACACACCATTATATTAAGCCTGCAGTGTTCAGATCACTAATGTTGTGCAGTTTTATTGCCTAAGAGAAATAGACTATGCCACATAACACATGTATGATGTAAACTCTATACCTAGTAGGTTTGAGTATGTACATTCTACAGTGAGCCTTCAAAATTACCAAACAACACACACGTGCCTCTAGATAACCAACACAGAGGACCAATGTAACTGCTCTGTCGGCAAGGAAGTAACGGAACGATCTAGATGTGTTAAAGTGTACTGTAACAATATCTAAATGGACAGCGTGGCTTTGGCCATGGTTGTCAGTAGTAGAAAGTGGGGTAAGTGGTTGGGTGGGGCAATAAGTGGTTGGCAAGGGAGGTGGTAGCATTTGCAGATAGAAACAGAGTGAGTGTGGAGTTGGGGCTGAGCAATTGAAATAATAGTGGAGTTTCTAAGATGAGAAGAAAAGGAAAGGAATATGCATGAGTGAGATATATAACAGGAGCTGAGAGATGTCAAGAATAAACATAAGGGAATAGTAAATAATCACTTGCATATGATTGTGTTGCAAACTGAAGTTCTAAGAGAGAATACAAAATAGAGAGACCAGAGTTGGAAGGAAATGACTTTTCAGCAGAAATCTGAAAGATGCCTACAAGTAAATACAGAGTATTTCAAACAAGGGAAACAGTGAAGACCAAAGCCCTCTTGGAGTGAATGTGGCCCAACAACCTGGAAGTCTGTTTCTTAACAGCCTGAGACACAGAGAGCTAGAGTGGTGGAAGATGAGACTCTCTGTTTTTCTGAAAGCCTTATGAAACCATTACTGGGTTTCTGGGGATATAGAAGGACACATGGCCAGACTCTTAGCAGAGTGGAGGAGGGAGAATCAACAAGAGAATTCGGGACTTCATCAATCTACTCAAGGGTGAAAATATTAGTAGCTACTACTTTAGAAAAATGTATGACTTGGATACTGGGCTAAACTCATTACATCATGGTCTTAATGGCAATGCTATGAGGAATAAAATGACATCACCCTCATGTTGTATGTTAAAATCTTAGTTCAGTAGGGAAATGAGTAATTCCAAAATTCAGTGACCAAAGACAAAAGGCTGGAGGAAGAAGGGACTCAAAAGATGAGAAGAAAAGCAGCTAAAGTCATTTGGAAGAGGGACCAAGAAGAGTTGGATATATTGAATTATATAACAGTACTGGCCAAGGGAAAGAGGTTCCAGGAGAATCGATCAAAATATGCTCATGAAGTGTAGAAACCCTGTGTGTGTGGTGGTGGGGGTGGGGTCTCCTTTAGTTAACTGTCATGTGGCTGTCAGATTTGCCAGGTTCCAGCTAAGGGACTGGCCATGAAAACAGAATCATCTTCAGTGACAAAGAGGAGAACCCTTGTACTGTTTTGTTCATTTTTCCACCTTTTGCTAATAACCCAGGCCTAGGCCAATGCAGTATCGGCAAACTTAAGCAATTTGCAACAAATGCACATAGATTTTGGAAGCTAGATAGTTCTTAGGTTATTATAACAAACTTCTCACTTTACAAATGCTAAGTGTACCTACTTAGCTTTATTGTCAACAGGCTACAACCTAGAGTCATCTGGAAAGAAGGAACCACACTTGAAGAATTGCCTGGATCAGATTGGCCTACAGGCATGTCTATAGGGCATTGTCTTGATGCCTAATTGATAGAGGAGGGTTCAGCCCACTGTGAGCAGTATAGTGGTTGGTCATATAAGAAAACTAGCTGAGCATGAGCCTAAGTGAGTCAGGTAGCAAGCAGCATCCACTGTGTTTCCTGCAGTCCTTTCTTTGGCTTTAGGTCCCTTCCCTGGTGGGAGGTAATGCTGCGTGAAATAGCAAGCAGTCTTGCTTTCATGCTCCTGCCCTGACTTCTCTAAATGGATTGTGACCAGGGAAGTCTAAATCAATTGAACCCCT